GGGACAACAAATATCAATAACAACACAATAAAAAGTCCGACATATTGTGTAAAAACTGCTATTTTTTAGCACATTTTAAGTCCGACGTGTTGCTACCAGATGTACGGTGTGAGCTGAAACTGAGTGCTACAAACGAAAAAGTCGCACAGTGTCTGCAGAATATATAGAAATACAGGCTAAAATGCATTATCTTGTGGAGGCTCCGAGTCCGCTTGCAGAAGAGACATTTACAGGTGCTGCAGCATCGAGGATGTGGTGTTGTGGTAGGCTAAATCCATTTTACAGTATTTATACTGGACTACGTTTTCCACCTTACGACGTGAAAAATGGTTCCACAACTTTTACATTTTCTGTCTTTTTCGCACTCCACCGGGGTTCAAGTTGTCCGCCATGGCTTAAGAGAAAGTTAAGTTACATTCGCTACTCGCGTGTGCATTCAGTCCAGTGGGCATGTGCGTCACTTATTTCGGTCCGGGTGAAACATGACCCCGTGCGTTTGCAAAGCCATGAATTAATTAAATATGAATTAAACGAATCCTCGAGGCAGAGAATTTGACTCGAGGATTTTTTGTACTCGAATTATTCGAGGTACTCGAGGAATCGTTTCAGCCCTGATTGAAAGAATAGAATATCTTTTTAATTTGGAAATACAGTTGACTGTGTTCAACTAAAATAATAATTCACAGTCAGGATAATCATGCCGATCCTTCATCAATGACCAAGAATGAGCCTTAATGTTGATAAAAATCTTATCAGATCTTCCTGCTGTGTGCTGTGCGCTAAGAGTGCTCTGCCCCGCTCAGGTCATCAGACCTCTCTGATCATAACTCAAACATGTTGAATCGTCATGGTATGATTTCTGAGGGCAAACAGGTGTGCTGCCTTTGAGTTGTAGCCAATCAGGAAGCAGTGTGACAGAAGCGCCCTGCATGCTCCTCCTCCAGCATTTTTATTTACTCCAAAATCATGTTTGATCTCGCGAGATTTCCCAACTGCCCTGGAAATATTTGTGTGTGAGATTGGAATGTGTGTTGTGTGTAGAGTTTGCTGTCTGCACACCACACACTCCTGGACCAAACTGTCATTTTTGTGATTTCATATTGCTATGTGTGGGGTTTCCCTTGTTTTTAAAATCATCTGAAATGTTTAAAGTCCTGCTGCGTGTATGGGTAAAAGATGAACCTCCTATATCAGCATCAATCAGATGGATTCATGTGCAGAAACTGTGCCGGTTTAAAGTCTTTGTGTTACCGTGCACAGGGGGGCAACATTTGTGCTTGTGTGTGTGTTCCCTTGTGACGTTACCAGAGCAGTTGGACAAACATCAGCTGTTCATCCCTCTCACTCGAACACTGATAAACTCCCAAACATGCAGCTTTCCCAGCGGCGGCAGGTGTGCGCAGGACTTTGTGTGGTTTAAGCGAGTCGTGTCCAAGTGACTGAGAAGGCATCATGTGACTTGTGTGCACACCCAGTGCAACTGCTAATGATGCAAACCTCTAGGGGAGTAGGCAGCAGGTGTTTGGGATGTGGCCAAAAATTGAACTTCTTCGTGTATTAGTCTTCATCTGGTGTTTTTGATTACAACAAACTGTCTCACACTTGAACACAAACATAAATATTGAAGACTGAAGGCCTTAAAGTATGGTGGTCCAGAAGGTTCAGTGCAATACAAGAGCCACAGCACATCCTAAGGTACAACAGTTAATAATGAAAGTGAAAGTAAAAATAAATGTATTCGAAACTGGAGTAGAAGGCAACAGGACATTACAGTAAAACCAAACACGCTAGGACCCTAAAGCTGCTTTAGCGAATCTACAGAGAAAAGCTGTTTATATGGTGCAAAAGTCCATGTACTTCAGTAATTCAACTATGAATGAGAGGGTGGGCAACTTCAACCTCTTTGGTCCTTATCCAGCATGTTTTAGTTGTTTTCCTGCTCCACCACACTTGATGTAGTAGTTGTATCACCTGTTCAGCAGCTCATCAAGCTCTACAGAAGCCTGTTAATCACCTGCTAATTAAAATCAGGCGTGTTGAAGCAGTGAAACAACCAAAACATGCTGGATAGCCGGCCTTGAGGACCGGAGTTGCCCATCCCTCGTGGCTCAGGAACACTTTTCAGGTGTTGGATTTATTCGCTGAACAGAGTGTGACACTTTGAGTCTAGAATATTGAACCTTTTTTACAATATTTTAATCGTTTGAGATTTTTAATTTGGGTTTTCATAAGCTGTAAGCCATAATCATCACAATTCCAACTAATGAGTTTCACCTGTATTTACTTACATGCACTTAATTTGTTTTCTGTATTTATTCATTCCTCTATTTTATTAGATGTATAAAATTCTCTTCATTTTTTTAAAAAGAAAAATTGACCCAAGAATAGCGATTTTGTTGACTTTATTTCTGTAAAGGGGATTCTGACAAACTTCAGAGGTCAAGCATTGCTGCCACCCGGCCTGGGCCTTTTGCCCTAGCCTAACCAGCCAGCTCCATGCTTCCTTATGGAGAGCATGAGCCTGAGAACTCTCCTATTCAAATAACCCCACTCCCCAAGATTTTTAACTCAGCCAATCAGCGCTGAGCAGCATACGTCACACACCACAACGCCGAGTTTCTCATGAACATGGCATCTGAAACGGAGTTCGCTGTGGCTCTTTCCTCTATTCTAAATGACTTGAACATCTTTAAAACCACAACAAGAAGAAGCGCTAAAAGCCTTTCTTCTAAAGAAAGATGTCTGCTCTGTCGCCAGACACCATTTTGGACTACAGCTAAAAACTACAGTGTTGCTGGCACGGTTGGCATTTTTGCTTTTTTTCTGATTGGTTACTTTTGAGCTACATGTGCTGTTAAAACGTGAAGGAGGGGGTAACATAAAAAACATGACAGTGGGTTTAAAATGGGTTTAATTGCCATTAAAGGTTTTAAAATAAGCAAGCAAACAAATGGAGAGCATTATAAAAATAATGCAAGATGAAAATTTCTCAAGAAGGTTGACAGTTAAAAGACAACTTAACATATAAAACACCTGGTTAAAACTTCGTTAAACGTTTCACCGAACTGAAGGTGTTTTAAAACACAACTAAGTTGATAAAAGTCTAAAAACCAAAACACTCCTCAGCAGCCTGAAGGACAGGAGGAGGAGGGGCGGTGTCGGGCTGGTGATCCCGGCCCCTGCACCTGAAGTGGCCAGGCTGGTGCCAATAACAAACTGGCAAGTCCCGCCCCTCATGTGCCTCTCTGCCTGTAAGTAACCAGACTAGTTCTCTGGGTGTTTCTCAGTGTCAAGGCGCCTGGCCTTGCGAGGCGATGTCTTGCGAGGCCAGGCGCCTTGCTTACGAGGACGCTGTCCTTCCTTGGTCAAAGAGAACGGTTAAATGGAACAGACTTGCATCACGTGACCACGGCTTCCACGGCGGTCACGTAACGTCACGTGACACGGGAGATAGTTATATTTTATATGTATTAGTTTCAATTTAAATAGGACAAGCCTTTTACTTTTTAAATTGTGTATATGTTTATTAAATTAAAAATATAAGTGCGTTACTACCCGCTAGCCACCGAAACTGCAACTACTAAGCAACTCGCCAACAATAGATAACTTCTTTGGATCTAAAAAAAAACCCGTTTTAAATTAGATGACTTACTTTTAAACTTGAATTGTCCCCGAAGTAGCTGCCGGCTTCTGATCCGCCATCCTTTTGAAAACACTGCGGTGGACTGGAGAAAGAACAGCAAAGCCGTTTACAAGAAGGGACACCGCAGACTGCACTCCTTGAGGACGTTTAGGCCCTTCAATGTCTGTAGCAAGATGCTGCAGTTCTTCTACAAGTCTGTTGTTGAGAGTGTAATCTCTTCAGCCATCATCTGTTGGGGTAGTATCATCAGAAGCAGGGACCTGAAAAGGCTCAACAGCCTAATAAAAAAGGCTGGTTCTGTTCTGGGGACGACTGTGGAACCACTGGAGGAGATAATGCAAAGAAGGATTCTCCAGAGAATCAAGAAAATTATGGACAACCCTGAGCATTCTCTTCACAAGTCTGTCCGACAACGGAAGAGTGTCTTCAGTCAGAGGCTTCTTCAGTTTCGCTGCAACACTGACCGCTACTGGAGATCCTTCCTGCCAACAGCCATTGTAATATACAATAACTCTTTGACTTGATTATTATTATTATTATTCTGAGCTACTACAGCAATCAATTTCCCTCTGGGATTAATAAAGTATTTTTGAATTGAATTGAATTGTGTATTGTGGGTAATTTTTGGCCAAGGCTAGGCTACAAGACACCTCCCGTGTGTCCTTGCTCAGCTAGCTAAACGGCTAACAAACGGAGAACACATACCTCGGTAGAACATGAACATTGGAACAGACTGGAACACGTCTTGGCGGCTCTTGATGACGTATCTCCTAGGCAACCGGTGCGGGGCCAAGACATCAAGACAAGGCTCCTTGACATTGAGAAACACCCTCTGTGTAGAGGACGAGTCTGACAGGCCAGGCTACTTTTGCCCCGTGTAATATTTTCTAGGTCCACCTCTGGCTTTGGTCTAATGGTTCCCAAATGCTTTTGTCTCTCGTTAACTTAAGCTATGGCGCAGATATTAGATTATCTTCAGTTTTAACATAATTTCCTGTTGACCACAACTTCAGATAAATGTATTTTTACTTCTTTGGTTATTACCTCAGCTGTAGCTTTTGTTTTTGTGCTGTGGCTTTTGTATTTCATTGAGCTTCCTGGGCCACCGTAAAGGTTAAGTAAGTTTGTTATTGTAAACATCGTGTGGCCAATCAGATTAAAGGCAATATAAAACTTTACCATAGTTCTTCTTTTCAATTCTCTTAAATGTTAATAAATTAGGAAACACCTCACCAGTGTAAGAGCTTCAATAATGGTAAAGACTTTAAAATATACTTGGTTCATTTAAAATGAATTACTTTAATTTTTTGAAATGGAGTTTAAAGCTGTTCTGTTATTATTTAAGTGTTGTGTCTGTTGATCAGCCGGAGACATATTTGTAATGTTTTTCAGAAGAAGGATCCGATCGTGTGAGGTGAAGTGAAACGACAGCGTTGCTGACACCGAGTAAGCAAGTCGACCCTTTCCGAGTCTTTACTCGGAGCTCCGCAGCAGGATATTTGATCCCAGGAATTCCCGTCAAAACACATCTGTAATAAAAGAACAGTGAAAGTGTCGTGATTGGAGAAGGATCCAAGTTTTCTTTTCTCAAAACATCAGCTGTTAAAATAAACACGGAGGAGTTCTTTCATAAAATCTGGTGTTTGTAAAAGTGAACCGAAGCCAGTGGGAACTCTGTGAACCCGAACCAGCACCATACTGGTCCAGCTCGGCCTCACGCAGCGAAAAAGCCCTCAGTCAGCCGCGTTATCTGGGAAAAGCTACAGGTTTTTCCTGTTTGTGTTGGCAGAAGTGGGATTTCCAGTATTCCTAGTGGGTGGTGATTCAGGTGAAGCCCAAACTATTTCATTATAGCTGACATATTGATCAAACACCTGCTCTTACATCCGATCCTGGGTTTGGCGGTGAGAATGAATCCAGTCCTGTATGGGAGGGAGGTGATGCAACCGTAGGTCACGCTGGTGACCGAACAGCAGCTGAAAAAGCCCAAAATTCATCAGCAAACAATTTTCTTATTAGTCTGGAAAAATATTTACACTCCATCTGGGAGAGGTCAAGGTTAAAAACGGACAAGCTGTCAAAAAAAAAAAATTCAAAGCAGTCAATCTAAAAAATTTTAGCACAATAATAAAAATCTGTAGTTATTTAATAAATATTTAGTTTTAAGGTGGATAAAATGAAGCTTTTACGGTCCTAAACACAGAAACAACAGGTCATGCAAGTCCTAGAGAGGGAGGGTTTTTCTAGACACCGGCTAATGGGAGGGAGGTGTGTGTGTGTGTTTAGTGGGCGGAGACATGGAGGTGTGAGTGAGAGAGAGAGAGGGAGAGAGGGGATTTGTGGCTTGTAGTTGGTCAGCTGTCAGTAGATGCAGATGACACACTCGCATGGTAATCTCAGAGGAGAGCAAGGGAATACAAAACGTGGATATGACTGTGATGTGTGTGTGTGTGTGTTTAATGTGAAAACCAGTGAGTCGCCCAGCCGGCATGAGGTGTTTAGCCGGTTCTTGGCTGGTTATGGACGTCTTTAAAGGTAAGAGTCACGTCCAGTCCTTCGGAGATCAGATTTAAAGGCACCAGAAGTGCGTTTAAGCTCTCGCTGAGGCACTCTGACTGGTTAAAACATGAAAGGCTGTTTTAAACATCTATGTGGGGAAAACTGCCAGTGAAGGACTGATGTTGATTTAATGTTTTGTTTTGAATCTCAAATCATTTGACCTAATGGAAGATATGTTTTGTTTATTCAGACCACTGTTCCCACAGCTTATTGTGTAGCTTTATTAATAAGAAAAAGTTAAAGAAAGCAGCTTTAATTGTTAATATGAACTTTTTATATGTTAAATGTTTCTGTGTTTTTAAACCATGATGAGTTGGACGCTCAGTCGGTGTGTCTGTCTTACTTAGACTCGGACTTTGAGCAGTCATGAAATGTTATTGTGTGTGTGTGTGTGTGTGTGTGTGTGCGTGCGTGTGCGTGTGTGTGTGTGTGTGTGTGTGTGTGTGTGTGTGTGTGTGTGTGTGCGTGTGCGTGCGTGGGGTTATGAGTGACTGGTCACACACAGAGTGCACAGTCAGCAGGCCTGAAGCTGCTCTGTCACCTCAGGTCTAACCAGCCCACTGTTTACTCTGTTTGCTCTGTTTGCTCCACGTCAAAAACAACTTGTTGAAACTAAACTCAATTAGCAGCAGGTTCACAGAATGTGCAGCGATGCGTTCAGGGGCACGCTGCAGGTCAGATGCTAAAACGGTTTCAGGTCAAAGGTCAAGAGTTACAGAGGAACGAGTTTAAAGTTTACAAATGTTTTAGGGTGGGAATTAAAGCTGTGGTTGTTTTGGGGTACTTGAATACACTTTTATTTATTTAGGGGTACTTGAATACACTTTTATTTATTTAAAGTTTAGTTACATCAGTTCATATTATAAAAAAAATAAACAAATATTTAAAGTTTTATCACAGAAAGTTTTAAACATGTAATGTTTATCAGAATGTCTCTGTTGTGTTTGCGAGGGTACTGAGACAGTAGTTTTTTCCTAGTGAATACAAAAGCAAACTCAATAGTACCCTGTGTATGGATCATAGGGGTCTTATTGATGATGATTGATGATCCTGGAAAAACCTCATTCCATCATTGGGTACGTTCCATTCTTAGTGATTGGATCCTCATCCATCCATCACACTGCCCTTGGACCGTCCCTTCCCTCTCTGCAAAATTTGCACATTCTCAACTTGGAGCAGCTGAGCAGGAAGCAAAGCCTGAGCTGAGCTAGCTATATTAGCTAGCACGCAAAATTATGTCAAAAAAAGGTATTAACAACGGGTTGAAAAAGTAAGGTACCATTATATTTTTCTGTTTGACAAGTTCCCGTTCTTCTGTAGCCTGTGGAGATGAGCTCTCTGAACAGACATGGAGTCCCTTCTGGAAATGATCCAGATTCATTTTTCGCAGAAGCTTTGCAGTAGAAGTTGACAAGTCATTTAAACAAATAAAAATAAGTCAAAATGAATTGGTATTTAGATTATAATATATAATGCTGCTGTTTAACTGCAGAGCAGTATGAAGAGGTTTCCTGCTAAAGTGGATTTTGTTGGACGAGGACCATATTTAGTATCTAGACCCACCAGAACAAAGAATCTCTTTAATGGAGTCACTCAGCTGGGGCTGTATGCTAATGTTCTCACCAGCATTGGCTGCTGCTGCATGGTGGTCAATCAGTGAGCTGTTGGTGGATTTTGACCCTCTGGTCAGGATAACTATGTAAAACTCCTGCAGCAGCGTGACGTTTCCTGGCATACACCCAGTTCATCAGTGAGCACTATATAATGAATTCCAGTTCTCATCTGAGCTCATTGTGGTTCCTGTTGCACCAAAGTGTTTCTGCACTGTGAAAAACCATTTTGCGCCTTATGTCACCAAGTCAGACCACCATCCTTGTGTTACGACACAACTGTGAGCTGAAGAAATGGTGCTCAGGAGTTTGTGTGCAGATTGAGACACTGTTTAGTTCGTGTTTCCCGTGCAGTGCTGCAGTTGTTACAAGCCATGAGGAGGTCTCTGGTAACAAGCAAAGCGGCTCTCCTTCCTTTTCTCTCTTCAAGTTTCACTCTGATTTCCTGAGTGTACTCTCTCATGCATGCTGGATTATTTTGCATATTTAGGAAGCCTACTGGGGTCACACACTCTGCTTGCACTGCAGTTTGTGATTGTAGAAAGGATCAGTAGTTTAGGTTGTGTGTGACGTTATCTGCTTTTGGCTTTTAGCTTGTTGTAGTGTATCTGTACATAAGTGTGTGTATGCGTGTATGCGACTCCCAGCTAAATAACATCCGGACAGGCCTGTTCAATGTTATTGATTCAGGTCTATAATCAATACCGCTCTCTGATTACATGAAGCTGCACATGTAGAGTAACAAACAGTCTGCAAACCATCCATAAAGTGTTTCTTTTCAGGTATTTTTATTTTGTTTATCTGTGAAAGGGGGTTTTCTGCTCTAAGATCAAACATCTGATATATTTAAAGCTGTTTTTTGTTCCTATTGTATAGGTAATGAGGCGTTCTGTTTTGTATTAAAAAAAGAAATAATTTTAATTGATTTTGATTTTTGTCATGGTTGGCACTGAAGATGAAGAGTAACAAAGACTAGAGAGCACAGCAGTCCTCCGGTGACACAAAGTCGTGCCGTATACAAACACCAATTAGTCCTATTTGCTAGGACAAAGAAAGACGTGGCGGGTTTGACCTTTGAGCCCCGAAGAGCAGCAATTATTGAAGTGGGTCAATTTGTACAACTTGGATCTTATTTGAACTTTCTCTTGAGCACACAGGCTTTCCATTCCAGCACATCAGTGAAACTCGACAGTTCATTGAAACAAGGTGCAGGGCGAGGACAGCCCTTTAGTTTCCCGTTTGTGTGTGTTACATGGACTTTATCAGACATGGGTGCACCATCAAAGCTGCAGTATTAATAAAAATATGCAATCATTTGTTTTTATGCACATTTAGAAGTTGTGCATGGCAAAATGTTAAAGAGGACATGCCTTGTCTCAGACAGCAACTTGACATCAAGCTAACACATCAATGGTGCATCACCATAGCTCCAAACAGCCCAGGTGTGCATAAACACACTGGACCTGTACTAACACACACACACACACACACACACAAACAAACCCAGCATGTGCTGCAGGTTCCTCTTTGCCGGTGAAGCCCGTGTTCTTAATCCAGTCTCAGCAGGTATTATCTCTGCTTTGCTGGTGCTCGAGTGTGATCGGAGAGCTGCGTGGCTTCTCTCTCCTCGCTTTAACAGACACTAAAAAGCGAGGAGGGGGTCCACTTCCTACTCCTCCACTGGTCTCTAACTCCTGATGTGGTTTGATTATGTGTTTCTTCACTCAAGTTTCGGCCACATGTGTCCGTGTAACTTCCATTCATGGGTTTAACGTAACTGCAGTCAGAGACGAGTTCAAAGAAAAGTTGGTCATTTCTTTCATTGTTTATGAAATGATGAGCAGACTGAAATTATGAATACCGGAATGAAGCAATGAAGGATTAGCCTCACTTTAAAGTACAACAGATAAAACATGTACACGCATCATTTTCTACATTTTTGAAGTTTTAAATGTGCAAAAACCAAAAACTTCAATTTTTTTTTATTAACAAGTTTTCAATTATTATTTATCAGTTGGTTTCCATAGTGAAACTAAAAGACTTTAAAACAAGGTTCTGGAAATGCCGTGGTGGGAGGACAAGTCCCTACATGGGATGGACCACTGACAGATAACTGAAGTGGCTGATATGATACAGAAATCCCATCAGGAGCTGGTCTGAAGGACAGCACAGAGGCACTCATCATGGCTGCACAGGAACAGGCCCTGAACACCAGAGCAACAGAGGCCAAGACCTACTACACCAGATAAGAACCAAGGTGTAGGCTAGAGGCCCCTGGGACAATCCACCACAAAACTGCAGGGTGGAAGATGCTGGCAGGGAAAGCTCACATGGAACTCTACAACCAAGTGTCTGGCATCGTGTACAGGAACATCTGTGCAGAGTAAGGACTGGAAGCCCCAAGGTCAAAGTGGGTAACACCCCTAAGGTGGTTGGGAACGAAAGAGCCAAGCTCCTGTGGGACGTCCAGATCCAGACTGACAAAATTGTGATGGTGAACCAACCAGACATTGTGGTGGTGGACAAACAACAGAGGACAGCCATTGTGTTTGATGTGGCCATACCAAGTGATGCAAAATCAGGAAAAAGTAACACAAGAAACTAGAGAAGGACCAGGGCCTCAAAGAAGAACTTGAGAACCTGAGAGTGAAGACATCAGTGGGGCCTGCGGTCATCGGGCCAGTAACCCCCATGGAGGAGTGGCTAAAGCAGATCCCAGGAAAAACGTCAAGACATTTCAGTCCAGAAAAGAGCAACTCTAGGAACAGCTAAGATACTGCAGAAGCCTCCCAGGTTTCTGGTAGAGGTAAAACACTATTGCAGCGATGTGAAGTTTCGAGGGATTTTGTGATCTCGAGTTGAGCGTGGAGTCAGATTCTCCTGGTGGGTACTGGCATGCAACAAAACTCACAAGTGAACCGTTCCACTCTGCTGATGCCTCCAGTGTGAAGTAGGGGTTGTAGACCACACGCAGAGGGTCAGATGGAGATTTTTACTTTCTATATATTCATGGTAAATGAAGGTTTACAACTGGCAGACTAACTTGTGACTAAGTGGCAGTGTTGCAGACATTGGGTTTAAAAGAAGAATATTCCACTTTAGATCAGATCAGATGGTTGGAAAGGGGCACGCTGCATGACCCTCATTGCACTGATTGCTAAGCACCAGCCTACTTGTTAATTTAGTCATTTTAAGGCAGAAAGAGTCATAAAGCAGATGACTTCATGATTGGAGCTCGTAGTTTACCTGTGGTCTGATAGATCTAGCATTCAGGTTGAAACGATCTGCTTTAATAACAAGAATAGTTTTTATAAATGAACTTTATTTTGAGAACCATGTGTACAATTTTCAGATTGTTTTAAATAT